GTAGCATTTAACCTGTCAAAGCCCAAATGTGTGACAAACGCACAAACTGAGGGATGCCACAAGAAACAGCAGACGAGGAAGCATGAAAGACTTTTGGGTGCATTTCTTTAATATAAATACAGTTTTCCAAAATCTCAGTTTCATGAGCCAGCATTTCTTTTGGCAATAAATTAGAGTAACAATTTAACAGCTAACAACAGGTCTGAGGGATATGCTGGTAAATTTAGGCTGAAAAGAGAGGGCAAGTCCCTTGGGAAGTACTACCAATAACACCCCCACATCCCCCAGTAATTATTGTTTGCATTTATATAGTGCCTTTCATCAACAGTATTTCAAGCCATTTCACGAATATTAGTTAATTAAGCCTCACAACACCTTTGTGAGGCAGATAGGATTCTACTATTGTACAGATGGGAAAGCTAAGCCATACCGAAGAAAGTCATTTGCCTAAGGTTTGCCATGGAGTCAGTAGCTGACCAAGGAATACAGTTCTGCATGTCAGTTCCACGCTCAAACTACCAGATAGTAGTGAGGTGAAACCAATGCATATCTTTAATGCATGCATACACGCTATGGCCAAAACTGTCCTTTGATTTTGGGTGCCTCAGGTTTTGCGTGCCCAAATTGAGATGAGGTCAACGAGAGCTGCTAAGGGCTCAGCTTGTCTCAAAAGGTGTCTCAAGTCGACCACTCAAAAATGGAGGCACCAAGATTATAGGAAAATCTGAAATGTTTGGCTAACGAGACACACATAGTATTCTCTGAGTGAAAACTTGGCCCTGTAAAGTCAGTGGCAAAATTTCCATCGACTTCAATGCAGCCAGAATTTCACCATTTGTGTAAATACATAGCTGACTTTGATCCAAATTATAATCTTGGGTGCCGTCATTTTTGAGGCCGCAAATTGACACACCCTTTGGACTTGATATTCAGAAGTGCTGCAGCTCTCATTGACACACATACTATATAGTGTGTGTGTTTGTGTGTAGGACTGCTTCTACTGGTATAACCGAGGAAACAGAGCCCACCACAGGGAAAATTCTACAGCAGGCCCACAATCTCTACTGTAGGGCTCAAAGACAGCCAGAGCCAGTCTAGAAGGCACTGACTGGAGAAGGGGCCCAGTGCACCTCACAGATGCACCTTAGAGATGTGCTGAAAGTGCCCAACCAGCCCCATCTTCTCATGCAGGGAGCCCTGGATACAGTTTAAAGTGTAGTTCTGCCCTGAAAAAATGACTATGTGAGACCATCACCACCTTCTTCAGCTATTCTGCTCCCTGTGTTTGTTTAATGTCACATCCTCTGATTCCAGTGAAAAAACAAATTTTTACTTCCAGCCCTGCAGAAACAACACAGCTGATCTAGATTCTTTTTAGACTCACCCACCATCAGCAGAACTGTTGACTAAATTCCTATTGTGGAACCACCTGTGTAACCCCAATGTCTTCATGTTATGCCTTCATTTACAACCGTGTAACTTGCCTAAATGCAATCAGGTTGCACCCATATAATTTAAAGGTAATGGAGTTGCAAAGATGTAACTGAAAGCAGAATGTGGCCTGTGGAATCTGTATTTCAGGTGATGATGCACAAGCTCGGCTTGACTTTAAGATCCCAGGACTTGTCAAGATGGCACTGCAGTGTGAATTAGAGGGGTGTGAATTGTAGAGCGCTCTAACTGCCCTGTGTAGACCCTGTTGGCACACTATAAAAGGTACCTAGTTCACACTGATGTCGTCCCGTTTCATACAGGACTGCATTAATGTGCATTAGGTACCTTTTAGAGTGCGCCAGCAGGTCTACATAAGGCAGTTAGCCCAAAACATGTTAGAACGCTCTACGATTCAGACCCTCCTAGTTCGTGTAGACAAGGGCCCAGACTGAGTTTGCAGAGCTGGCAGTTAAATACTTGTAAACTGAGCAAATTTGTTCTGGAGGCATTAGGATGAATAAACATGGAACCTTGTCAATGCTATTTATAATAAGCCATTTTCAGAGTAGAACCACATTTGAAAGCTGTTCTCCCCCCATTGTCTTACGTTAAAGCAAATCCCTTGTCTGAATCCCCCTGCAATCAACTGTGGTTTTAGTAGTGATCCATCATGTAGTTGCATTATTGATTTAGTTAGTTGGAAATTCATACAACAGCATTTTGTTAGTCACTGGAAGTGGCCTCCCACTAATGTCCTTCATGTTAAAATGTGTACACTTTGGAATTTCATGTGATTGACGGTAAACAATGCATATAAAATGCCTTTTCATTATTGCCACTTGACGGGCATAAAAGGACAAGACCTGGCAATTAATACAATTCAGAAAGGGATCCCAGCATTTTAAAGTGATCATAACAAACAAAGTGCAAATGTTTCTAGCCCATAATTCACCAGTTATTAATGGAATACATTTTTCTCCTTTTAAGCCTTTTTGTACTGCAACATGATCATACTATACACACTGTACTTACCAGTATCGCATGTCATGATAATCAGAGGGAGAAAAGCCCTATAAACAATGAAAGAAAATGGATTAGTTGTTATGTAGTATTGAGAATTGCCTGAATCCTAAACCAAATATTTAGGTTTCTTCACTATGACCCAAATTCTTCTCTAATTTTCACAGATTCATAGATTTTTAAGGCCAGAAGAGACCAAACGATCATCTAGTCAGACCTCTTGCATAACACAGGTTGGAGAACCTCACCCAGTAATTTCTGCATCAAGCCCATAACGTGGTAGAACTACAGCATATCTTTTAGAAAGATATCCAAGTCCTGATTTAAGGACTCACACATTTAAAGATTTTATATTGTTAGTTAAATAGAGATAGGGCAGAACCAAAACCTGGTTCAGAATATGCCAGAATTTTGGGAACTTTTGGCCCCATTCTAAACTTTGTGTCTGGGCCCCAGCACCAGTGAATTAAAACTCCCAGTCTGAACCTTCATGTCCCAAACTTTGGGAGGGGTCAGATTTGGATCCAAATTTTGTACTTCTGACACATCTCTTTTAAAAAGGAAATACGGCACACTATGCTTACATTAACTCTTCTCTAATATCCTAAAATTCAAATGATTCAACCAGATATAAAAGCTGTGGATAAATTTAATGGAATGTCAATTTAGAAAGCTCTGCCAAATTGAAGATTAAGGGTAGAACTGACTGAAACTCTAAATCTCTGTTCTGTGGGAAATTCAGATATTTTGTTTTGGTGAGTGCTTCATTTCAATTTTATCTTTTTGACTATATTATCTATTATATTATAATAGTAAAAATGATAAAGTTGAAACAAAATGCTTCAACCTTATAGAAACAAAATGTTTCAATAATTTGTCATTGACAATTTTGACTAAATCAATAACATTACTGGTAAATGTTTTGATTTTTGTCAAATTGGTATTTTCCTGTGGAAAACTCTTCTGTCAGAAATTTTTTGACCAGCTCTAATTAAGGGCTACACTGTTGCTGCCCTGAATGAGCGTGCAAGGTGGTGGGGGAACAAGTTCACCCTTTTATGGACCCACATAGGAGGCAGCTTCAGATCTTGTGATTCATGGGCCACATCCAAGTGCCTCAGCCCTGTCCGGGGGTGGAACACGTACTTTGCGGAGATGGTCAGCAATGGTGTTTGTTGTAGACACTTGTCTTCTAGGAAGTGAACTGAGACCACCAACATTTTTTCAGTGCACAGTAAGCTATTGGGTGAGCTAGCTTAGTAATTGGCACAGAGAGCTCCTTCCCTGCAGTATGAAGAAACTTCCAGAGAGGAAGCAGCCATGAATTGTCTCCCAGCACTCCAGTTTGCATTGGGATAGGGCAGTGGACTTGGCTAGCTCTGCCAGCAGCTTTCACTAGGTTAGAGGAAGTTTGTCTAGGTGCGGTGGGGCATGGAACAGGCATAACGCCTCAAGGCACCACTTTCCCTCTCCTTAGTGTGGCTCTGAATTTAAGAAGCATAATCTAGAATGTTTTCATGGCAACTAGTCTGGACATGCCTGGCCATCAATTCTAGCCTATGGGTATAAGAACCTAAGCCACTTGGGAGCATAAGTCCCATTTGCAAGAGTGACTTAGGAGCCTAAATCTTAATAAGTTGTTTGGAAATGAGAGGCTCCTAAATCACTTAGTCCATATTGAAAATTTTATCCCATGTTTTATTTTTAAAAAAAATGCTGTACATGCATCAGATAAAGGTGTTGAAAAATGAACTGGAAAATGATAAATGTATGGCCTAAACTGGAAATCTTGTCAAACTTAAACAGTTAGTTGGCTTACATTGGGCAGATGCAAGGTAAAGGCAGTCTTCAGAATGAGTTGTAACTCATGAGCTATCGCTCTGAAAATATATTGAAGAATAAGAAAGACACAAGTTTCAGTTACAGATGTTGCATGTTGGTGAGCATGTTGGTCCAAGACGTTTGCCAGGTCTGAAAATATGATTTTGTGTCATATCTTGATTAATATTCATAAATTTCCATTATTCACTCAGTACTTTAAGTTAATAGTAATGGGCAACAATGTTGGTAGAATAAAGTCATTCTCCAAATTTTATTCCATGGTTTAAAATTAGAGGTGGGTGAACAGCTCTGGTAAATTAAATACTGAAGCTGAACCTAAGCACAACACTCAAGGTGAACCTGAACCTTTGAGACTCTACAAAGTTCAATGACATGTTGACTTATGTTTTTCAGTATTACTTTTCACCTCTCCTTACTTCCTGGTTTTATCTGGGACCAGATGCAGAATTGCCAGTGTTCCATGAACGAAGCTGTTCATGTGGGCTTTCTGGCCCAAATGAAACCAGGAATTCCTGGAAATTTTGCAAGATTTCCAACCCCATTTGCCAGACCAAAGCGGTTGAGGTAAGTCTGCATAATTATAGGAACCAAACTTCCAAACATTTTGCTGTTTGTCCATTGCCTTGTGAGCCACACTACAATGTGGAGCAAATGGAGTTAATGGTCTCAATTAAATTCTAATGCCTCTTTCTGCTTTTCTTCAGAGCTTTGTCATCTGTGGTGGCTTTAGGAGCAAACATAATCTGCAACAAAATCCCAGGCTTGGCCCCGCGGCAACGAGCGATCTGCCAGAGCCGCCCTGATGCCATCATAGTGATCGGAGAAGGGGCACAGATGGGAATCAATGAATGCCAATATCAGTTCCGCTATGGCAGGTGGAACTGCTCAGCGCTGGGAGAGAAAACAGTCTTTGGACAAGAGCTTCGAGTAGGTAAGGGATTCTTTAAAATAGTGTTAATAATAATAATAAATTGGGACTGCTCGCCTTTTGGCTCTCCCCTGGCAGTGCTTTAGAGATGTAATGCTATAAGGCATTTACACACCACACAAAATAAACCAATGCACCCTCCAGAACAACAGTGGCACTTTTTCTGATCTTATCTAACCCTATTTTGTAGTAGCTGAAAAACGCGTAGAGATTTCTAGGTTGAGTCTTTCATTATTCATACCACTACACATGTGATAATGACTAGAATATTCTGTATGGGCAGCAGTGACCTGAGTCAATTTCATCCCATAATTTTATAACAACTTTGTAGGCATTTAGGACTTCAGGATTGTTACTGTGCTGCATACTATGACCTGTCAGAATTCCACAGTAATGGTGGGAATGGAACTAAAATCAGCTCCATCCAGTACAGAGCAGTGATGCATAAATATTCTGCTCAGATTATTATCATGTGAAGATGACTCTACAAATTATCTGAAGTGAAAAATATTAAAAAAAAAATTACTTGGCATATAGGACCATGACCTAACAAACTATTACAGGATAGTCAGTATCATGTGTTATCACTTTCCACCAATTCTATGTGTGATATTATTTCATGAGGAGAGATCTTACAAAATAATTCTCTATATCTCCAACATTGACATTGTCACTGTCATCTTCAGCTCAGCTCAGGATTCTGGTCAGATATCCTTCCCTTTATCTGTCTCTCAAAAGCTGCCCTAGCACCATCAATTGCACAGTTTGTTATTTAAATGCAAGAGTACTGGTTTGTTGTGTCTGGTTATCACAATGTTGCACTGAATCAATATTTGCTAGAAAGAAAGCATATAGTCCCACACGTCCCAGAAAATACTACAATCACCTTCCTTTGTGTAGCTGTAAATATCTTCCTTGGGTCAAATTCTTCTCTCGGTGATATCTGTGCTTGATTTTAATAAGGGTGGTCAGTCACATGGGGGAACCAAAAGTCAAATTTGGCCTGTGGTGTTCAATCAGTGATTTTTGTAACACTGTGAAAGAATGACATAACTTTATGCACTGCCCATGTGAGGAGTGAAGGGCTCGTATGTAGGGTGACCAGATGGACAGTCCTGATATTCTGGGCTTTTTCTTATATAGGAGGCTATTACGCCCCACCCCCTGTCCTGATTTTACACATTTGCTATCTGGTCATCCTACTCATATGGTGCTTGGGTTGTCTTGCGGGAGTAAGGCATTTTCTTTAACACTAGTGAGGAGTGAATCTCAAAAAGCTGATGTTTGGTTCAAACAAGCATTGATTTGAATATTCACCCAACAATTATGCAAAGCCTTTGAGTTGGATGCAGGGCTGAAAATCTCATGGGCACAATGGGCTATTTCCCAAACTGCTGTAAACCAGCATAACTGCACTGACTTTAGTGGAGCTGATTTATATCAGCAGAAGATCTGGCTCAGTGTGTGTCTTGGCACTTCCATGTCACACAAAAACACAGAAATGCAGAAGAGAAAAATGGGAGAAACTATTCTCTGAACTTTTCTGAAGCTCAGAAAAGGTTTGGCTGCATTTGAGTTTGGCTCAGGGAAGGGCAGAGATGAAGAGGTATTGTTATGTCTGAACTGGTTGACTCATCCTTTCCAAGTAGTTTCGCATTCATGCAACCTCACTGGTCAGTGTTTCTTTCTACACTTGTAGTAAGATATTTCTAAGTTCATCTGGAGAAAGAAGTTTTTCTCTTTTAGTCCTCTTTACACCTGTAGCAATTTTCTGGTCATGCAAAATGGGGAAAACACGGCTGTAATTTTGTTGGATACTGGCATAATCTTTCAGTTCTCTCACTGTTGCACAAAAAGAAGGGCTCCAGAAGGGGAAAGAGGTTGACAATCCTCAAACTAGCAAACCTCCAAGTAATGGGGATAATTTGAGTTTTATCCTTAACATTAATTGCATCAGAATGACATCAAGCCACCTAATTACACAGGCACTTCCTTGCTGCTGCCTACTGAGGAGAGAGAAATGGCTGAACCTCTTCAAATGCTAGTGGTTTGGAGGTTTTAATGTTTAAGGGGAAGCTTTTCTGCTACCTCACTGACATCTGTTGTTCAATGATGAAATCATGATACACTGTTGATAGTGAAGCTGCCCGTGACTCCACACCTGTAGAATTTCTTCAGTATCAATTCTATTTTATTTATTAGATTCGGTGCATCCCACTAGGGCTAGCAAGAAACCTGGTGAGGTTTAAATAGGTAAGAATACTTGAAACACTAAGCAAGCTTTATTGAGTATATTAGAGAGAACATCCTGATAGGGATGGACATTCCAAAAATTTAGCATAAATAGGACCAGATTGGGAGACTGAGTGCTGACTATATGAACACAGATTATTACAACCTGAAACAAAGACAGCACTGAATAAGAAGAACAAGAAAAGAACACAATTGGGCAAAGAGTTCACATAAAACTTCTCAGCCTTTTCTTTTTCCTGCTCACATAGTCATATTTTGCTTACCCTTTGCCAAGCCAGAGGCAGTAGGAGTCAGACTATGCCAATGCCAACATGTGTTTACTTAATTCCTTTGTTCTGGCTGAACCAGGAGTATCTGGTTGTTGAGCCCTATCAATCTATTTACTTGTGCTTTGGAACTTAAACTGGGGTGTGGACATGTGATGGTTTTGCAACTTGGGGCTTGAATTAAGAAATTAATGGTAATAGTGCACATAGGGGCAGCTGCAGCATTCAGAAGCCCAACTGATAAAGCCCTGAGGGTTCCCAATTTATCAACCCTCCCCACCCTCTGCCATGGCAAGTAGTCAGGTGCTGTTGCTCAATACCGATTTTCTAGAAATGTATATGTGCCAAGTACAATAAGTGCTGCACTGAAAAAGAGCTGTGTGTTTATGCTCTCAGGCCTTGATTCACCAAAGCATTTTAAGCATGTGCTTGACTTTAAGCGTGTGAGTAGTCTTGATGATGTCAATGAGATAACTCATGTTCTTAAAGATAAACACATGCTCAAATGCTTTTGCTGGACTGGACCATCAGTGTTTAGTCTTTGGTGAAAGTGCTTCTAGCCCTGTGTAATTTTGCTCCTAGTAGTTGAAGACTGGGAAAAGGTATGAGACCTTAAATCTCCAGTTTTGAGCAGCTTTTGGTTTGTCATTTTGCTTTGTTCTTTGCTAATCGCCATAGTTTTTTCTGTTCAGCACAGCTGAAAACTGCACTTTTAAAAACCTACTTCTTTTCAAGGGTAATACTAATGATTTTAGGGTAATGTGATATGATTAAGATATGTCTGGATGGCTTCTGTAAGGAAAAAAACATGCCTCTCTAGTCTGCTAGAATTCTTTGTGTATGTCAACAAAACAGTGGCTAAAGAACCACTAGCTGTCAAAATTTATCTGAAGTCATAATTTAAAGTCCCTCATGAGACTTTGTGGCCATGGTTAGACAGTGGATCAGAAATGTGTAAGAGAGACAGTAAGAACGGATGGCAAAAAGTTAACAGTGGGATGCCACAAAGACCAGTGTTTTTGACATAGTAATTAAGGATCACGGGAAAGAGGTGAGTAGTGAGGTGGAACTTTTGCAGATGACATGTTATTTAGCAAAGGTAGATCTAAATGGACAATATGACTGGCAAATGCTAACCAGGCCTCCCTACCCTAATGTAAACAGACAGTTTATCTAAGCCAGTGGTTCTCAACCAGGGGTACACATACCCCTGGGGATATGCAGAGATCTTCCAAGGGGTACATCAGCTCAGCTAGATATTTGCCCAGTTTTACAACAGGCTACGTAAAAAGCACTAGTAAAGTCAGTACAAGCTATAATTCCATACAGACAATGACTTGTTTACACTGCTCTATATATACTATACACTGAAATGTAAGTACAATATTTATATTCCAATTGATTTTTATAATGATATAGTAAATATGAGAAAGTAAGCAATTTTTCAGTAATAGCGTGCTATGACTCTTCTGTATTTTTATGCTTGATTTTGTAAGTAAGTAGTTTTTAAGTGAGGTGAAACGTGGGGGTACGCAAGACAAATCAGACTCCTGAAAGGGGTGCAGTAGTCTGGAAAGGTTAAAAGCCACTGATCTAAGCCCAATGCTCACTACTGAGCTGGACATCTCTTTCTCCCGCCAAGCTGGCCAACCAGCTCCATTCCATCCTGCTCACTCTGGGGCCATGCCTACCCTGCAATGCAGAGGTGTGATTGTAGCATATGTAGACATATCTGAGCTAGCTTTCACCTGGCTAGCTCGGGAACCAATAGCAGCAAAGCTGTGACAGCATGTATGGAGGCACTGGGTTGTGCAAGACCGCCTTGGACCTGAGTACATACTTAGGCAATCAGCCTGTATGGAAGTCCGTTTTGCCGCACCTTCACTGCTATTGTTACCAGAGCTAGCTTGGTACATCTACATGTTCTGTAATCACACCTCTGATTGCAGTGTGGACATACCCTGGGCGAGGTCCTTCAATACTCCTTTCCTGCCAGTTGGCTCATACTGCAGCTACTTCTAGTCCATATGTCCCCTCCCAGCTCAGTTTCAGCCCAACACAGATTGGGGTAGAGAAAAACATTGTTCCTCCCCCCTTGATGGGGGTGGGGTAGGGAGGTAGTTCAATAGGAAGGAGAAAAGTCACTCCCCTCTACTTGGGGTGAAGGAAGAAGATACCTGAGGGTGCACTACCCCTCAGTTGGGCAGACGACAGAATATTAGGTCATCTCCCTTGATTTGGGGTTGGAAATCATGGGCCCTTGTCCCCTGGCTTAGAGGGAGAATATTGTAGATGGCCCTTGTTTGCAGAGTTTGTGGCAGAGTGTGTGTGTGTGAGAGAGTGAGAGAGAGAGAGAATGTATGGGAGAGTAGGCACATATAAGCACATATGCATGCCTGGTGGAGTGTGGAGGTATATATCTTGCAAAGTGTGTGTGTGTTGTGTGGCAAAGTGTGGGTATAAATGAGTGGTAACATGAATGGA